TTGATGCGTCCCGCTTCTACTGGGAGTGCACCTTTTCTGTTAGGGCACGCCTTTGCTGCTGGGGAGTCCCTTTTTCTACTGTGAATGGGGCGGCCCTTTCCTGTTCGGCGACCCCAAATTCTGCTGGGGGCGCCCCATTTCTGCCCAACTTTTGCTGGGGTGCCCCTCTCCTGCAGGGGCACTTATCTTTTGCTAGAGACGCCTCAATTCTGGGGGCACCCTTCCACTGCGGGGGACGTCTCTCTCCTGCCAGAGGCATCGCTTTTCTTCTTATGGGGCTCCTCTTTTTGCTTGGGCGCCCCTCTTCTGCTCGGAGCGGGGCACCAGTCTCCTTTTACTGGGGCACAGCCCCTCTGCTGGGGTTGCCCTTCCGCTGCCTCAGGGGCGCCCCTCTTGTGCAGAATATACTCCTTTTCTTCTTGTAATGAGGCGCCCCTCTTCTACCGGGGGCGCCCATCTGCTGCTGGGGCGTCTGTCTTCTGCCGGATATTGTCAATGGGGCGCCCCTATCCTGCCTGGCGATCCCAACCTCTGCTGAAGGCTCCCCATCTCTGATCAACTTTTGCTGTGGCGCCTCTCTTCTGCTGGGGCGCCCCTCTTCTGCTGAGGGCGCCCCTCTCCTGCAAGGGGCTCCTCTCTTCTGCTGGGGCGCCCGTCTCCTGCTGGAGTCTCCTTTCTCCTCCTGGGCCCCCTCCGCTGCCGGGGGCGCCCCTTTTCTGCCAGTGGCACCCATTTTTTTTATTATGGGGCTTCTCTTTTTCTTTGTTGGGGCGCCTATCTGCGGTTAGGGCGCCCCTCTTCTTCTTGGAATGGGGGCGCCTCTCTTCTTTTGCTGGGGCGTCGCTCCTCTTCAGGGGGACACCTCTCTTGCCAGGAGTGCCCCTCTTGAACAGAAGGCATCTTTTTATTCTTGTAATAAGACGCCCCTCTTCTGCTGGGGGCGCCCATCTGCTTCTGGGGCGACTCTGATCTGCTGGGAATGGGCAATTGGGCGTCGCTCTCCTGCTTGGTGAGCCCAACTTCTGCTGGAGGCGCCCTATTTCTGCTCAACCTTTGCTGTGTCGCCTCTGTTTTGCTCGGGGCGCCCTCTCTGCCGCGGGCTATGGGCGCCTTTTTCGGATGTCGGGGGGGGGGGGCGGCCGCCCCCGTCGCCCCCCCCCCTGGATCCGCGCCTGCCACCAGGCATTTTGCAAACTGCCTGAAATTATTTTCTCAGGCAGTTTGCAAAATGCCTGATATCGAACTCACACCAGCGACGATGCGTAAGCATCATTGTAAATGCCGCCAACAGGGGTTAATCACAAGCGATACGCACCAAGTGGGAGGACACACAGTGAGACATTCTCCGGGTAGCGCTGCCGAGTTCAAGGTTACTGAGCCCCAGGCAGCGCGAGCGGCCCGGCCGCCGCGCCGGCTACCGGGCGCCCGGCGCGGTTTTATCGGTAAACACTCGTTAAACACGGTTATGTTTCTAAGAGCCTTGATGACTCTGGAAATACTTTGAGTGGATGTTGATCAGAAAAGAATGTTCTTTCGATGTATGGTAGCTTGGTTGGCGAGCCACACGTCTACATTATCAATGCATTGTGACTGTGTAAAGATGAACATGCCCGTTGCATGTAAAACTTGTAATTTCTAAGCGTCTTTTTATTACAAAGGTGTGCACGTGGGTCGTGGATGACCAAAAACTTGCTTTTCTGGAAAAGCGGAAAAGCCACATGTTCTTGTTGTCTATGGAATGTATCTCATCTCATTCCAATGCATTGCCATTGTTTTTTAAATGCTGTTTTCCTAAAATGTAGGTACATACCAAAAATGGCTGATTTCTCAAGATATAGACTATTTCTTTCCAGGTGACACGTGATTAACAAAGATGTTTATGGGATACGCTTGTCTCTGTTCTATCGATCGCTGGCAACCCCGTGTCGCTGCGGCCCTCTCTTGCCGTGATGTAAATAAGCACGGGAAGCGAAGAATGTCGGGTCAATATTCGGCCGGTCGCCGCGTTTTTCCGCGCCCATGTTTCTCTGTGCCATGCTCCGCGCCCCATCGCAGCATATTTCTTACACACGAACGGCTACAACTCCGTATACGAAAATTATAGGGAGACGTTGGCTCAATCTACACCATTCAGTAGTGGTTCCATCTCGACGGAAGTGGCGCAAGACGTGGGTATATTCGTAAATATTGAATGTGTTTGGGGCTCAGGCACATGGCAGCGACATGGTCAACGCCTGTGGTAAACAAAAACGGTAAAATAAATTAATCACAACTCAGGCATTTTGCAAAATGCCTGACCCGCCAGGCATTTTGTAAACTGCCTAGGCAGTTTGCAAAATGCCTGGTGGGTCAGGCAGTTTGCAAACTGCCTAGGCATTTCGCAAAATGCCTGGCGGTCAGGCATTTTGCAAATTGCCTGGGCATTTTGCAAAATGCCTAGCCGGTCAGGCATTTTGCAAATTGCCTAGGCATTTTGCAAAATGCCCGAGTTTTCACTTTGCCTGTAACATATATATATATATATATATATATATATATATATATATATATATATATATATATATATATATATATATATATAATATACTACACATATATACAGAGGAAGTATTACCCAGATACATATAGATCTATCATACATAGACATAAAAACCGTAAAGCATTAACATATATACAGATGTTGCATGTACAATGCTTACATATATTTACATATATCTATGAGTTATATATCATCTATGTACAAGTGTCACGTACAGTATATATGTATGTCTAAGGCTGCAGCCGTGTCAGCGGCCACGAGGTAGTCTGGGTGTTAAGTGTAGGTCTCTGGTCTCTGATGTACATGGACTCTTTTATTTTTCTGTCGGGACCATCCTTGGCGCGAGCCAGAATGCTCAGTTTAAGGTTGTTGCATGTCAGAGGGGTGTGTAGGTGTTGGTGTTGATGAGAGCCAAACGGTGTGTCTATGCGTTTGTTGCGTGCGTCTCCAAGGTGTTCATTAAATCGTTTCCTTATCGGGCGTCTGCTTTCACCGATGTAAAAAGACTGGCCCTCGGGGCACAAAGAACAATCAATCCTGTAGATGGTGTTTTTGAAGTGGCACTTCCCTGCAAGCCCTGCACAGCATGTGTTGCAGCGCCTGCCTCCACCTGGACAGGCAGGAGGACTGAATGCTGATTTAAAGGGACTATCCCACCTTCTAAAATGTTGTTAAAACCAGTTAAATTGTGCCCGACTTTATAGATTGGATGACCAGGAACACGGTTCTGGCATTTATTTTTCATTAAACATCTTAGGCTTCCCATATTCCAAACACAAACTTTCAAATATGTGACGTCACAGCCCAAAATTACCTCCTTCCCCAGGCCACATTACTGTCATAAAGCTGATTCTTTTTACTCTGTAGGCACCACAACAAAGTTCAGACCAAGTTTTAAGCGATTTTTCAACGAACAAACCCATTTAAATCAGAATGACTAAACGAGGTGACGTCACACTAACGGTCGCTCCATGTTGAAGATAGGGCCTTGTACAAGGCCCATTTTCAAATGAAGGGAACGAATTTCTTCAACACCAAGAGGCCGCGGGGGTTGCAACCTAGATAGATAGTGGTTTCTGAACCTCGCCGCAAACTTGGCTATCTCAACTCAAACCCCATGTTAAAGGGACTGTCCCACCTTAACATTAGATTTGAGTTGAGATAGCCATCTTGATGGACGTTCTTTGAAAATCAGTGCCGTGAAAACCGGTTCTCCAGCAATTACTTCATCGCAAAGAAATTTGAGTTTGATTTTGACATCTGTGCAAATAAGTGCCACAATGTATTGGTATAGGCACTTAAATCTGATGACGTCATCAGGCTTTCGAACGTCCGTTAAATGTTTGACTAAAACGTTTTGTAGCACGTGGTGGTATATGCTGCGTTGCGCGCAACAAATGCCGCACTTTTAAATAAAGTCGCTAGGAACAGCGGAGATCCCAAAAAGTAAACAAAAGTAAAAGTCTAATATCTTGAAAACCGGTGAATATTTTTCGGTGAAATTTGGTAGATATTCGTTTTCGCTCTTTCTGAACCGAGCGACATCACTTTCATGCCAATTCATAAACTTTTTTAAAGGTGGGAGGGTCCCTTTAAAGGTGGGATAGTCCCTTTAATCAGCTTCTGGCCGACAGTCTCGCCGCCTTTCCATGCCACCTGAAAGGCAATTTCACTGCGCCTCACGATGCCTTGCACTATGTAGCACAATTGATCGTCAACGAATGGCAGAACGAGTGGGGTTTTGTAGCCTCTTATCTGATCAGTTGTTCCTCTTACCTGATTTGTTGTTCCATGTTTAAAACGTATATGTTTTTCTGTAATTATCGCTGGCGAAGCTCCAGGAGCGAAATATTCGATAATTTTAAATATAACTTTTTGGCTCCTATTTCTGATTTATATTATGAGGTTACTGGTTATTCTTATATTAATATTATTATTCATCATGAGCCTCAAGCAGAGTTTCAGCTTTTTAAGTAATATCGTTCTAGCAAAAAGTGATCAACAATATAACTTTTTCATTAGCTACATACAAAAGTTAATATAAGTCTTATAACTATAATTTAACATAGAAACATCACAAAAACGAATATCGTTTATTTTTCTAGAACGATATTACGCAAAACTCGTAGAGCCGCAAAAAAATGCACGCAGAAAACACATAGTGTAGCCAGGCCTAAAAGTTAGGTTGGGTTACTTTTTCGGCTAGGGGTGTTAGTCGCCAAAGTCTCTGCCCTGGATCCGCCCCTGCTGCGACGTCACCCGAGAGGCCGCGCTTTTGGTCGGGATACTCGCGTAAAACACTTGGGGGAATGCACGTCCGGGCATACTTGGATGGGGATGGAGTACGACTCAGACACACGTTCGGAGGTCGGACTGCAATTTGGGGGTGGTTGTGGGGGGAGTTTGAGTCTCCGAGACGGGTCCGGGGTGGCGCCCCCTGACCCCACTCGGCTGTCTCCAGGAGACGGCGGCCCGGAGTCGGAGCCGGAGCCGGAGCCGGAGGAGCCGGGTCCGGAGCGGCACGCCGCCGCGATGGTCGGCCAGCGGGCGCGCCTCCAGCAGCTGGAGCAGTCGGTGGAGCATATCAAACAGACGCTGTCGCTGGGCGAGCCGACCGACCAGGAGCGGCGCGACCAGGAGCGCACCAGCCGCCTCCTCCAGCACCAGCAGCTGAGCCTGCAGCGCAAACAGCAGTGAGTGAGCCGGCCCCGCCGGCTGCAGCTTAGGGTACAGCTCTGTTCAACAGTGAGCGAGTGAATCAGTCTGCAGCCTAGCCTAGCCTGTAGAATAGAGCCCCAATGACAGCGTCCGCCATGGCCTCATGTCATTTTGGTCATGTCATGACCAAAATGACCAATTCTCAACATCTTGCGCTGGCTATGGGCCTTGTAAGCTTTTGACACCTTGATTTCTGCCTTTTTTGCCAGTCTTACTTACCTCCCACCTATCATGGAACATGTTGTTCGACGATGTACAGATGTCAAGGTCAGGGTCAAAGTCAACCTAGGTCATCTAGAATAATTGCGTTTAGGCAAGCTGAATTTACTTTTCGTGAAGTTTTTTGACTGCATTTTTGGTAACAGCTTCTCAGATCATGATTTCATGTAATATGGACACATAACCAATCGGTGCGCATATCAGTATACACACAGACACACACAGACATACAAACACATATCATTGACCTTGACCTAGCTTGACCTGAAATGACAGCAGCAAAAACCTGGTCGGGTAGTCTGACAAAGAGGTTCTAGCTGGCCTAGCACCAGAAAACGGCATCATCATCGGTATGTGCTAAGCAGTGCATTTGATATCCAACGGTGACCCAAAACAGCAACAATTTTTAGTTTGACCTGACCTGGAAGGTCAATGACTGACCCGAGAAGGTAAAACTGGGCATCACTGGATTCGTCTCTTCCCAAAGAATCTTTTTGGTCCTTACCGCGAAGGTCTATCTCCAACAGGAACGAAATGGCGCGGGAGGTGGCAACCCCCCCCCCCCCCATGTGCGTTCTAGGATGGGAAAATGGCATGTGCGGGCGAGGGTTAAAGGGACTATCCCACCTTTAACATGGGGTTTGAGTTGAGATAGCCAAGTTTGCGGCGAGGTTCAGAAACCACTATCTATCTAGGTTGCAACCCCCGCGGCCTCTTGGTGTTGAAGAAATTCGTTCCCTTCATTTGAAAATGGGCCTTGTACAAGGCCCTATCTTCAACATGCAGCGACCGTTAGTGTGACGTCACCTCGTTTGGTCATTCTGATTTAAATGGGTTTGTTCGTTGAAAAATCGCTTAAAACTTGGTCTGAACTTTGTTGTGGTGCCTACAGAGTAAAAAGAATCAGCTTTATGACAGTAATGTGGCCTAGGGAAGGAGGTAATTTTGGGCTGTGACGTCACATATTTGAAAGTTTGTGTTTGGAATATGGGAAGCCTAAGATGTTTAATGAAAAATAAATGCCAGAACCGTGTTCCTGGTCATCCAATCTATAAAGTCGGGCACAATTTAACTGGTTTTAACAACATTTTAGAAGGTGGGATAGTCCCTTTAACCCGCGCCCTGCTGGGGGGGGGGGGTGTTTGAACACCCCCTTGTGGTTTTTCGCAAAATATGTCAAAAACGGCGGCGCGGAGCGCCGCCGTTTTTGGTACACCTTATCATACATCAATTCTACACAAGTTGTGAAAATTTCAGACCAAGGTCATTCAAGGTCAGGTCACCAGGTCACTTGAAGTGACCTCACCTCATAAAAAGTTTCAATGTCTGTCATAGCTACACCGAGTGACCGATCGCTTTGAAACTTTCAGCGATTACTAAGAGCAATAGCATGTACAAAATGTATATCTCAGAATTTTGATATCGATGACCTAAGGTCAGGTCAATTTTGCGACCTCCCCATTATAAGTCAATGGGAGAAAATTGAAATGCGCCTCTTTTGGACGAAAGACATTATAAACACTCCCAAACACTGACTTACAAGTGGTTTAGACACACTGAACATGAAAATGGTGTCCGTGACCCCTGTTTATGCCCTGAGGTCATCTTAGGTCACGAATGGTATCTAACAGTTTTTCGCAAATAACTTTTGATAGAGGCATGCTAGAGCGATGAAAACACCTTAGATGTGTTCTGATCGACGATACGGATCGACTGATATGCAACATGATCCTTTCCGGTCAGGTCATGACCTTGACCTGAGGTCAAATTTTCAAGTTGACCTTTCAAGGTCAAATTATAGTTCATTCGATGCGTCTTGACGAGAGGAACACGATGCCGGTGAAAGTAAGCTCGTACAAGGCTCGGGTCAAAAGTTATTGCAGAAAAACTGTTTCCGAAAAAATCGGCTATTTTTGCAGTTTTTGCCCCCTGCAGGCAAAACCGTTGACGTTAGGTCAAATCTGAGAAAATTATTCAGAAAGGGCGTTAATAGGGCTATCGAATGCACTTTTCCGCGGCGCTGTAGCTCTATTGGTTCCCGAGTTATGCGTTGGCTTCTTGGAAGTTTTCGACATTCGACCTGGAAATCGGCGAAATTTTGCCTTCAATGACCTCTGGTGACCTGACCTTTGACCTGACCAAAAAATTGACCGAAGTGATTTCGTCATTATTTTTTACGCTCTTTCGAACGCCGCCTTCCGCGTATCGCTACGTGGCCCAGGAGCCGAGTCAGAAGGGGGGTGTTCAAACACCCCCCCCCCCCCAGCAGGGCGTGGAAATCCAGGACCCCAGCCGGGCGCGGGTTAAAGAGCGCTAGCTCTCCCGCCCGTCAACACATCAGCGAGTTCCTCTCTGACTACTCCCTGGATCAACTCGTGACAACATCAACATTCACTACCGGTTCTCTCTTGGACGTGTGTATTGTACAAAACCGAAAATTTGTGCGTTCTTATAGCGTAGTCCATTGCCATTTAAGCGCACACAAATTCATCCACGTGACCGTCGACGTGCCTAAGCAGCGCCTAAAACCAACTGTCATCCAATCTAGATCACTTAACCGAGTGGACGTTCACTCTATCAACCAAGAGCTGGGGCGTTCCATGACAGATCGACCAAGCCATAACACCCTACCTCTCAGATTTTGATGAAATTGCGTCTAGGGGGTTATCTGTACCGTAGATTCTTAATTCCCTTTTTTCAGCGTTATACTGCAAATGGTTTACGAGTTTTAGCCAGTGGCATTTTTCAAAATGCTCAGAGTAACCCTCTTTTTGACTCATAGTATATAAAAATATGGCCAGTAACTTACATTAATATGTATATCATTTGAATCCCCATTGACTGTAGAAAATTAATCAATCAAAAATTTTGAAAATTTTCAAAATCTCAACATTTTTTTAATTAATACATTTTTGATTTTTGATTTTCAAAGTGCGGCCATTAAATTTTTGACAAAAAAAAATTATGCCAAAAGATGTTTCTGGATATGGAAATGTATAATGTAATGAAATTGGGAGAGGCGTTTTGCCTTTAAATTTTTATATAATTTTTTATTTACGGCAATGTTTAGGGTAAAAGGGAACATTTGTTGACACGTTCCGAAACCAATCATTCTGCTACCCTCATACTCGAAATAGGTTATGAAAATTGAAAATAAAAGCCTGGCACTCACACTCACACAACCGGCATGCGATTATTCAATGATCTCTGCTTCACTTTCGGTTCACTTTCGCTTCACTTTCGGGAATTGTTCAATGTCGGTCAAGAAAGTTAATTTAAAGCCGAACACTGATGTGGCTGCCTTGCATGTAATTCTGACACGCTTCTATGCAGCTTGCACTGATAAAAGGCTAGGAATTATCAAAAATGCAAATCGGACGTTGTGGCCGGACATGCAAAAAATCCGTTCCTAACAGCCAAGGCTGTGTTAGGGTCAAATGAGGAGAAGGCTCAACCTAGTAATCGCATGAAGTTCGCTCTGTCCATGTAATAATGGGCTTTTAGTGATTTTGCTTATTGAATATGCCACACACAAAATATATGCAGACAAAAGTGCGGCATAAAAGTGCGGCATTTGGAAGTAATTGATTGCAATTGCCAGGGGCGTGACCAGGTCAGAGAGGGTGGAGGTAACAAAATTACAAGTACCTACGTGAAAACTGGCCGAGATTGTATTCTGTTTTCCTGGAACTCGAAGCATCTCTAAAGTTTTGGATTAATGTATTTCAAGGTATTAAGTGCCTTGGGATTAGTGATGTCAATTTCATAAATTTTGGAAACTAATACCAAACCGATACCGACCAAAACCACTGAGAGTATACCGAAACCTAACCGATTTTCAGAAATAGGGGGAAATACCGACTAGATACCGAATTCAGGGAATTATCAAACAAACGATAGGCGTTATCACAAGTGTATTCGCGGCCATTGGGGCGACGTAAGAAAAGAAGAAAACAGCTGGCCCCAAGAACTTTAAATTATCAAATAGCATGCACCTTTTCCTTGATATGTAGAGAATTTACCATTAATTGTTAGAGAAAATTGCATTTAAAATCTTCCATTTATGCTTTTTTCATCGTTTGCACAGTATGTTCTTTTACTAAGCTAGAAACACTAATTAGAAATAGTTCCCGCATCATCAAGAACAATAGGAAAGGCTTGAAGTGAATACAATAATCTAAACGGTTTTGTAATCCATGTGGAGACACTTCTAAAATTGCCTGTAGAAATATTAAGGTCAAAAGTTCAACGTTTTCACAAGACGGATGGCTATAAACCTATTCAACGTGTGACAACTCAGCCGGTATTTCGTCGCCTACAGCCAAGCTTTCCCTAGTGACCGATAGAGGCGCTGCTACCGATGTCCGCCCGTGCCGCCTAACGACCCTTCAAACTTTCTCAAGACATATGATAAGCATTGAAAGGTAATAGTTTAAAATAAGGCAACAAAAACAAATCAGGGAATCTCTAAATTATTTGCATTGCAAAAAAAACATTTACAACTGTATTGTGTAGTAATTAACAAATATTCAGGCCAGTTATTTAACTGGGATGTGGATTCAAGTCATCTGCATGAGGTGTTAGGACAATAACTTGAACCCTGAATCTCATCCATGCCTGAACCATCTTCTTTCAATTCAAGTCATTCAATTCGAGTCCGGTCAAGACAGGGTTAAGTGTGTTATCATGATCCAAAAATGGTGACCCTGTTGACAATGCTGGGCTATACCATTGATGTAAACAAACTCCTGATACC